GGAGGCTCGCGGTGTCAGGGGTGGTGGGGGGGTCCAGGCGAGGTTTTTGTTGAGTGGGGGGGCCCAGCAACCTGTGCTTAGAAGCTGAGAGGAGGCTCGCGGTGTCAGGGGTGGTGGGGGGCGGGTGTCCTGGCGAGGTTTTTGTCGAGCGGGGGTGCCAGGGCGTGTTGGGGGGGCGCGGTGGGGGGCGTCGGGCCAGGGCGTGGTGGGGGAACGCGGTGGGGGGCGTCGGGAGAACCAGCGAATGGGGGTGCTGAGTAGGCGCGGTGACCAGTTCGTCCGCACGCGCCTGTGGGGTCGGCGGATTCAGACTTTGCGCCCTCGACGCTCACGAACCACGCTCTCGCCGTGGATTTGCTGATGATTCATCCGGAAATTCGGTATATCGCCCGAGACTTCCCCGCGATTCATGGAGAACGCACGCTTCAGCAACCCGTTTGCCCCTTGTCCCTTACTTCCATTCGCGTCCTTTCTTCCCCTGCCGTAGGGGGTGCACGAAATGTACGTTGCAGGTAAGAAAGATACACACCCAAATGGGGTACGATCGAAGACGAAGACGGCGGATATCAAGATTTTGGGATATGCGTGGCAAGGGGCCAGCGAGCAGATAATAACGACCAGTGTTTTTTTTGTTATACATATATATATATATATATATATATTATATATATATATATTAATTTTTGTTTTTCAAGAATTATTGTTCATCCTTCCTTCCGGTAACATGTGTTTTTCGGGAAAGGGCGCAGGCCCAGGGTTATCTTGCAGTGTGGTACACCTGTCCCCGGTGCCTCAACTGAGGTGGGCCGGCGGATTTTTTCCTGATAGATATCGAGGTCGAGGTGGGCCGGCGGATTACAATTTGAGGATGTCTCAGGCGAAACGCTTGTTTTTGAAATCCCGATCGACAAATCGCAGGGTGCGGGCCACCTCAGCACGACCACACCCCAGCACGACCACACCCCAGCACGACCACGCCCCAGCACGACCACGCCTCAGCACGACCACACCCCAGCACGACTACGCCCCAGCACGACCACACCCCAGCACGACCACACCCCAGCACGACTACACCCCAGCGCGACCACGCCCCAGCACGATCACACCCCAGCACGACCACACCCAAGCACGACCACACCCCAGCACGACCCCACCCCAGCACGACCCCACCCTAGCACGACCACACCCCAGCACGATCACACCCCAGAACGACCACACCCCAGCACGACCCCACCCCAGCACGACCCCACCCCAGCACGACCACCCCCAGCACGACCACCCCCCAGCACGACCACACCCCAGCAAGACCACACCCCAGCACGACCACACCCCAGCACGACCACACCCCAGCACGACCCCACCACAGCACGACCACACCCCAGCACGATCACCCCCCAGCACGACCACGCCCCAGCACGACAACACCCCAGCACGACCACTCCCCAGCACGACCACACCCCAGCACGACCCCACCCCAGCACGACCACACCCATTCGCACCCCCGCGGAATGTTTCGTGGGGTGTCTGGTTGAGTGGTTGCCTGTTCGTGGGGTGTCTCGTGGAATGCTTCACGGGTGGTCTCGTGGAATGTTTCGTTAGGTGTCTCGTGGAATGTTTCGTGAGGTATTCGTGGGATGTTTCGCGGGGTGTCTCGTGGGATGTTTCGTGAGGTGTCGCCCAGTTGGGTATCGTGCAAACGTGACCATGCTGCACATGTCTATATCCCTTTCCGGGTTCGTGGGTCCATCATGTTTCAATTGAAGTGCCCTTCCTTGGGCTTGCACTGTGTTCTCTATCAGGGGAATTCATCATGCTCAAATTGCGCCCTTGGCCCCCGATTTACCACAACAGCGGCTTCCGCTTGATAATTTCCTCCAGTTTAGTGAAGAATTGCGCTCTCGTCGGGACTTCCTTCCGTGTATCAGAGAATCGTGCTCTCGCCTGATATTTTTTTTGCGATTATTCAGGCGTCGCGTTTTCGACGCTCAGGAATCGCGCTGTCGTTTGGGACTTCCTCGCACTTGATTCAGGCGTCGCGCCCTCGACACTCAGGAATCACGCTCTCGCTGTGGATTTTCTCACGAGATTTATTTTGGAATCGCGCTGTCGCTCAAGGCTTCCTCGCGATTCATGCAGGACGCACGCTTCAGCAACCCGCCTGCTCGACCTGGCCACCTGGGCCCGCCTGTTTGGGTCTACCCGCCCGATCTGCCCGTCTGGTCCTGCCACTTTTTAGCCCCTTTCCTGCTAATTTCTCTCGTTCTTCATCCTTTTCCCTCCTCCCTCCACCCGTCCTCTCTTCCATTGTTTTCTGCTCCTATCCCCCCTCCTCCTAGTCTCTGTCGTGCTCCATTCTCCTTCCTCCCCCTTGTTCCTTCCATCCGTCCTCTCTTTTCCTGCCTTAGGTGCTGCACGAACTTCACGTTGCATGTAAGAAGGATATACCCCCAAGGGAGTACGATCGAGGACGCGAAGGGTGGGTATCGAGGGTCTGGGATATACGTAATGAATGGGGCGCGAGCAGATAAGAGCGAACAGTCTTAACCTGATTGTGTTGTTGTTTTTGTTGTTATTATTGAATTCCCCTTTTGGTAATAATGATTGGCCCCCTTCGATAGCCAATGTATTTTCATTTTAAGTGCTCCTTCTTTGGTTTACAACAGCAGCGGCTTCCGCCTGACATTTCCTCACAACGTATTCCCAACTCGCGCTCTCGCGCGGGACCTCGTCACACTTTATACAGGCATCGTGCTTTCGCGTGGAACTTCCTCGCGCGCCCTCGACACTCAGGAGTCATGCTCACCTGTGGGTTTTCCTACGATGTATATAAGAATCGCGTCATTGGTCGAAATTTCTTCGCGATTCGTGCAGGACGCACGCTTCACAGCAACCCGCCTGCTCGACCTGGCCGCCTGGGCCCGCCTCCCCGACCCGCCCGTTTGGGTCTACCCGCCCGATCTGCCCGTTTGGTTCTGCCACGTGTTTTCTGCTCCTAGCCCCCCTCCTGCAAGTTTCTCTCGTGCTCCATCCTCCTCATTCCCCCTTGTCCTTTCCTTCCATCCGTCCCCTCTTCCTCTGCCCTAGGGGCTGCACGAAATACACGTTGCAGGTAAGACAGATATATACACCCCCAGCGGGGTACGATCGGGGACGAAGAGGGCGGGTATCGAGGGTGTGGGATATACGTGTTGAATGGCACGCGAGCAGATGCGAACGAACAGTCTAAACATGATTGTTGTTTTTGTTGTTGGATTTCCATTGTTAGCTCACTATTATTGTTGATCACCCTTCTGGTAAGCTCTGTATTTTCCAGATGAAGTGCTTTTGCCAGGGCTCGCATCCTATATTTTAGAAGGTAAAGCGAGAGGTCGGTCACCCAGCTGCGTTGTTGGCCCCCGAACTCAAACAACAACGGCTCCCGCCTGATACCTCCGGGCAATTTATTACCAAATCGGGCGTTCGCGGTTGAATACCTCACAATGTATTCAGTAGTCGCGCTTTCGCGTTGGATTTGTTTTTGCGATTTATTCATACCCCGCGCCATCGACACTCAGGACTCACGCTCTCACTGTGGATTTCCTGACAAGTCATTCGGGAATCGCGCTATCGCTTGAGATTCCTTCGCGATTTATGCAGGACGCACGCTTCAGCAACCCGCCTGCTCGACCTGGCCGCCTGGGCCCGCCTCCCCGACCCGCCCGTTTGGGTCTACCCGCCCGATCTGCCCGTTTGGTTCTGCCACGTGTTTTCTGCTCCTAGCCCCCCTCCTGCAAGTTTCTCTCGTGCTCCATCCTCCTCATTCCCCCTAGTCCCTTCCTTCCATCCGTCCTCTCTTCCTCTGCCTCAGGGGCTGCACGAGATACACGTTGCAGGTAGGAAACATATATACACCCAAGGGAGTACCATCGAGGACGAAAAGGGCGGGTATCGAGGGTTTGGGATATACGTGTTGATTGGCGCGCGGGCAGATAAGAGCGAACAACCTAAATATGAGTGTTGTCGTTGCTGCTGTTGTTGTTGTTGCTGTTATTGGTGATGGTGGTGATGGTTCTGGTGAGTGTGGCCATATCGGTTATGATGATGCTGATGATAATGCTGATGATGGGGCTGCTGCTAATGCTGGTGCTGGTAATACTTGTAGGATGGTGTTGATTTTGGTGATGCTGCTGCTGCTGATGATGATGCTACTGCTGATGATAATGATGATGATGATGATGATGATGATGATGATGATGATGATGATGATGATGATGATGATAATGCTGATGATGGGATAATTCGGAAGAGGACGACGTTGTTGGTGCTGGTGGCGGTGATGATGACGATGCCGATGATGATGATGCTGATACTGGTGCTGATGATGACCATGATGATGCTGCTGCTGATGATGATGACGATGGTGACGACGATGATGACTTTGATGACGATGATGATGCGGATGTTTATGATGTTTTTGATGATGATGCTGATGCTGATGCTGATGTTTTTGCTGCTGCTGATGATGAGGAATCCGATGATGATGAGGATTTTCCTGCTGAGTATGATTGATGATGATGCTGTTTTTGATGATTATGATGATGATGCTGCTGATGATGATGGTAATGAGGATGCCGATGATGATGATTAGATGCTGATGATGATGATTATTATGATGATGATGATGCTGATGATGCTGATGATGATGACGATGATGATGATAATGCTGATGATGATGATGCTGATGATGATGATCATGCTGATGATGATGATGATGACGATGATGATGATGATGCTGATGATGATGCTGATGCTGATGCTGATGCTGATGCTGATGCTGCTGCTGCTGCTGCTGCTGATGATGATGATGATGATGATGATGATGAGGAGGAGGAGGAGGAGGAGGAGGAGGAGACGTGGGGGAAATCCGGGGGAGGCGGAACATGCGACGTATCAGTATGTGTGCGAGGAGGAGGCGTATGCGGATGAGGAAGAGGACGAGTCGGGGGCCGATGCCCTCGGAGGAGCTGGACCTGCTGGTTCACGAGTTTGGGGAGGAGATCGCGACGCACTTCCTCTTCGTCCAGAGCTACACGTGGCACCTGGGCGTGGCTGGCGTTGTCGCCTGTGCGTGCTGGTTTTCTTCCCATGTGTTCCAGGAGCGCCACCCGTCGACTCTCGACGGTCGGGTTTCTCCCCCCGCCCTCCTCCACGGCCGCTCTCTTTTCCAGTCGTCTCGTGCGCCCTACGCCTGGCGCGCCCCGCCAGTCCTGACCCTCGCATCATGTGCGGAGTTTGCGCCGCACCCAAGTACATAATCATCGCCATTACCATTTGCAGTTCCTTCTTTTTGGACGAGGAGGAGGAGGAAGAGGAGGAGGAGGAAGAGGAAGGAGAGGATGAGGATGAGGAGGAGGAGGATGAGGAGAAGCAGGATGAGGAGGAATAGGAGGCGGAGGACATGGAGAAGGAGGAGGAGGAGGCGCAGGAGGAGGAGGAAAACGAATAAGAATGGTAGCAATTATAAACAACGACTAAGGCTACTAATGTTATTACTACTCATAGTAGTAATAATACTAATGCTAATAAGAATTGACTAGGAACCTAATACTAATAATGAACATACCAATATTAATCGTAACACCAAGACGAATACTAATACCCATACTAATACCCATACTAATACCATCGAATCGCTAAGCTGGTCCCCCCCTGTGTATGGGCAGCCACGCTGAAGGCCCTGATGGGAGGGTGGACCACAGCAGAGGCCAGCGGAAGGGGAGGTGGGTGCCTCTTCGGGTGCTTCTCCGGCAAGGATGCCCTCCCACACTATGCCACCTGCCCGGCTGTCTGCCGCCTTGCCCGCTCGCGGCTGCGCATCCTGCCAGCCCCGCCCGAGCGGAGATTGCAGGCGTTCTTGCTGCTGGACGACCAAGGGATCCCCGAGCAGCTGGCGATCAGAGCCCTCCACCTCTACGCAGTCTTCATTGCGACCAACGCAGCGCGGCATGGCAGAGTCGCCAATGCTGCGGACGCCTGGGAGCAGGCTCGGTGTGACGCGGCTGCCCGCCACGCCAAGCTGTCTGCGATTGTCAGCGGGCTCTGGACCAGGTGAGGGTTTAGCGCACTTCCGCTGCATGCCGATACGCACTAGTTCCGCGCCCCTGTGCATTTTAGTGGCCTCGCCTCCCCCCTTGTTCGCTCCTGCATGTTTCCGCTCGACCTCCTTCTCGGTCGATTCGGGCTTCGACTTTCCATTTCATGTTCGCGCTTGACGCGTTTGGGGCCCTCCCCCAGTGACATTACTGGGCACGGAGCTAGATATCTCACGTAGCTTCCTCTCCGCCGTTCCCCTTGCCTCCTCCTCCTCCTCCTCCTCCTCTTCTCCACCCCGTCTCACCGATACGATTTGGGGGATTTTCGTATCGCTCCGCAGTCGCCCGATTTTGCTTGATGGCCGTTCTCCTAAGCGTGGAAGCGGCGCCGGAAGTAAATTCGAAGACCGATTCCCAGTGGCTGGAAGCGGCGCTGGAAGGAATTTCGAAGACCGATTTCCAAGGGCAGCCGCATTCACTTCCACGTCTGTTGTTTGAAACCCAAGTTCTTACACATCATCGCCGGTGCTGTTCTTCTCCCTCCCTCCTTCCCTCCTCCTCTTTCGCTGCTCCCGTCGCTCCCCATCCTGGCTCCGATAAATCAGGCCAGTTGTGTAGCAAGAGCACGGATGGATGCGATCAATAAATCGTCTGGTGCGGCCCCGTGCCCGTGGTTGCGCGGACAGAAATAATGCAATGTTTCTGCCTGCTGTGCTGGAGTGTGTTCGTTAGGGCCCCTTGGCAGGATCTGCGGACTGCTCGTGTTCTGGCGTGCTCTCTTCCCCAAGAAAATAATCAAAGTAAGACTAATAACACTATCGATAAGACGAATACTATTACTAATCATATTAAGCGTACAACGGAACATACTAAGACAGTAATACTATTACCAACACTAAGAATACCAATACGAGGACTAAAATGAATAATAATAATAACAGTAACCGTAGCACCTTGCAGTTGCGGTTAAGAGTGAGGGGGCGGCGGGTACGTCGGCAGTCTGCGAGGCTCTGAAGAAGTCCGCCGCAGGCGCATAATTTTTCAAGCTATAGAACGAGGCCGCCGCAGGCGCCGACTTTTTGTTAAAGCTATGTGGGTGGGTGACGGGTTGGATCGCAGGTGGGTCGACGGTGGGTCGCGGGCCAGGTCGCGGGTGGGTCGCGGGTGGGTCGCGGGTTGGTCGCGGGTGGTCGCGGGGTGGGTCGCGGGTGGGTCGCGGGTGGGTCGCGGGGTGGTTCGCGGGTGGGTCGCGGGTGGGACGACGACAACAAACAACATCAACAACAACAACAACACCAACAACAACACCAACAACAACAACAACGACAACAACACCAACAACAACAACAACCACAATCACAACAACAACCAAAACGCAACAAACATAATCTCCACCACGTATTCTCACTTCATCCACGCACCCAGGGACAATAAGTGACCGTTTTGCCACCTCATTTAGATAGTAAGAAGAAGAAAAGGTATACTAATACTAGCAACAATAACAATACCAAGGCTACTAATGCCAGCGCTGATACTAAGAAGAACAACGATACACATAATAACAGTACGCATGCAACTTAACATAATAATGATAGCAGTACTATTAAGACGATTAAGCTGAACAGCGGTACTACTACTCGTAATAATAGAATCACGCAGAGTTTTCAGACTAAGAGTAATAGTATTGTTATGACTGCTAATAACACTATTAATAAACAACTTAATAATAATATTACTAATAACGCTATTAAGAAGAGCACCCTGATATTCAGGCGAATAAGAATAATACTACGAATAATACGACCAGCCATTACAATAATACAAGTGAATGGTGATACACATAATCATACTACACATACTAACAATCATAATAATACTAGACAGAAGAAGAGCAATAGGAAGAAGAGGAAGAAGAGGCGGTGGAGGAGGAGGAGGTGGTGGAGGAGGTGGAGGAGGAGGAGGAGGAGGAAGAGGCGGAGGAAGAGGAGGAGGAGAAGGAGGTGGATCGTACGCCACTGAGGGGAAAGGGGGGTGGGTGAGAGAAGTTCGACAGTCTGACCACTCTTCCTCCCAGCGGGGCCCATCCGAATGGACCTTTGTCGACCGCAGACGCGACGGCCATAGACCTGCCCATGGCCCGCGACGGCCCCCCTGCAGGATTTATCAGCTGTCCGAGTCAGTATCGAAGCCCTGATCTCCAGGGCGTTCGCTCAATGCTCCAGGGGTTCGCGCTTGTGTCTCAGCTCTCGCTTCTGGGCCCCCTGGGACCTTTCCAAGACCCCCCACCAGCTCCCGAGCCGCCCCGCTGGAAGTCCTCCAGGGGCCCAGCTTGAAAGGTCTGTTAAGGTGCTTGCCCTCAAGAACAGCCTTCGTATTCTTCTTGCCCGGATCCACCAGGGCCCGTTGGGAGCCCAAGCAGGCATCACGGAGCCTTCTGGAGCCTTGCGAAATTGTTGCATAGCCCCCGCAAGTGGAGCAGAACAACATCGGCGGTTGGCCTTCGGCTACCACCTCAAACTCAAGCAACATAGGTCACCTGGAAGCCCAGGGCGCTTGGCCCGTGTCCAGGGCCATCGAGGCCAGCTCTGGACTTCGCTGCTCGCTCGGGTTGCCAGCCGATGGGGAGGGGTCTGGCGGAGGGGGAACAGTAGCAGCAGCAGCAGCCTCCTCCCTCCTCAACTCCTCCAGAGCCTCCGCCATCTCGGCATCACCATCCTTGATCTGCGTAGTGGGCTTCGGCCCTGCTGATGAATCGGAGCAGGACCCTTGCCAAGGAAGCCATGCCCTTAGATATGAGACCGACCGACGGGTCCCTCCTCGCGAGCATAGCTTCTTGTTTGGCCAACCGATCGACAACCTGGTTACTTTCATGCTCAAAAAGCGTGATGCGTCTTCCACGCAGATCGTTCATGCTAGTGTGTGCCTCCACCTTCTTGTAGGCAGTCCCTGGCGGTATGCCTTCTGCGAATGTGCGCGTCCAAAGATGCGAGCGGATGTTAGATGGCCTCTTGGCGAAACCTGGGCTCCAGCAGCACGGCAGAGTGCCTTTACAATCAGAGTAAACAGTAAACGTGCCCACCAGGTGACGCAAAACCATGTGGATCGCGAAATCTTCACCATCTCGTGCCACCTGGTCTGGGCAATCCGCGGGGGGGACCGCTCCAAATCACCCTGCCTGGTAGCGGAGCTCTTTGTCAAACACTGCGACACCCCAGCCCGCAACACGAAAAGACGGGAACAGCCCATCTATCCCTGATCCATCACAAAACACATGGCCTTCACCAAGCGCCAGCGGCGCCGCACACCCTTCAAACTTGAACTCCCAACTGGGGTCCCAGGTAGGTCTCGAGAAAGCCTGGCAAGGATCAGGGAGGATCCCGCGTGCAAACTTCCTTGCAGCTCAACCGTGCACGTGGCGAGCCTGCACACAGGGTCGACCAGCACCGCGGGCAGGGCGTCTCGCCCCCATCCCTGGCGCGCTGGGCACTGAAAGTGACGGTGGAAGAGGGCCCCTGGCCCTTCCCTGCAGATTAGTCAGCGACTCGGAATCATGCTCGCGCAAGCGGAGCTGGGTCCAGTGCAAGCCTGTGACCAGGCCGCGCAGGACACGTTGCTCCCTCACCCCTCGAGCCCCGTCCGTCGCCGCCCCCTCCTCCTGCGGGTCGTGCCTGACATGCAGCAGCCCACTGGGCGGCCTCCACACCAGTTCACCTCGCCAACCTCTGCCTTGCCCAGTCTTGGCCAGGCCAGACCTGCCTGCAAAACGCCTGGCTGCGAATGTGGCCCTGCGTGCTGCGAAAGAAGGCGAAACCACACGAAGGTCCCGTTGCTCTCTTGTCGGCTCCAGCAACGTCCACAGGTCCAAAAACGAAGACCCACCCTTGCACTCGTGAGGAGAAGCGCTGCGACTGGGTCTTTCGCTTTCGCCCAAGCTGCTGAGTCTGACCGCGTCCGTTGGCCCTTGACCTCTTGGTGGTCTCTCGGGGTCACCCTCTGGCTTCTTGGGAACCTCGCGGAGGCTTCTTGGGGGCCTCTGGAGCTTGGAGGCTGCCTGGGGGCTTCCTCTTCGGGCCTCTTGGGGCACTCTTGAGCCGTCATGGGGCGCTCTTTTCCCGTCTGACGCCTTTGGCTTTGGATGTGATCTTCGTCGTCGTCACATTGCTGCCGTCTTCCTCCCGATCGGCGCCCCGTGCCAGGGTACCCATGTTGACCGACAGGGTCCCTGGCCCGAGGGGCGGCCCGTTTTCTTTCGAAGCTCCCCCCTCCCCCCGCCACGCACCCACTTTGACCACAGTCAACCCGCACAGGAAGGACGAACAACTTTCCAAGATTACCCTTGCATCCTTCCCCTTCGGCCCATTCTTGGCCGCTTTCGCTGGCCGCGCCCCGCTCGCCAAGTGTCGACATGGCCTTCCAAGCCCGTGCATCCAATCCTCATCGTGCGTCCTCATTCTACGGGTTGACTGTAGGAGAGCGGCCATGTACAGGCACTTCTCCTTCAAGTAGGTCTGGGATCGCAGCGCCCGAAGCGAGCGCGAAGACGCCTGCACATCGCCCCGTGACGGCCCAGGAGGTCCCGCACCCACGGGCCAAGAGATCGCAGAGACAGCGAGAGGAGAGCGCCCAGGCAGCCCAGGAGAGCCCCCAAAGAGCCGCAGGATCCACCGACACGTCCAAAGGGGCCCCAAGAAACCTACCAGGTGTCTTCCCAACGTTCCAGGGCGCCTTCAAGAGCCCCCCCCCACGTCCCTCAAGATGCCCCCCAGCGAGCTCTAAGACCGCTCCCAGGCACTCCAGGAAGAATCGCAGAACACCCCTGGACTCCAAGCCTGTTCACTGCATGTGCACTATGCGCTCACGCCAGCCCTCGCCTGTTGGCTCGCCGGGGGAAAGGTCACGAGGCGAGCGGACGTTCGGACTTGATGACGGGCGATCCAGGCGGTCTGTGCTCTTTGTGATATGTCAAGACGGGGTCCTGATTGTTCCTGAGTGATACGCAGCTTATGACCAAGTCTGGTAGCACACTGATGCATTGCCGTGTTGCTGGTAGTGCGGACATTCCCGCGGTCGGAGTCCCAAATGACTGCCCCCCTGTACCTGAGTGTAGCCGCCAACGGTTCGCCTCTAAGTTCGTTTTGGATGAGCCTCTTGGGCATCTCCCTCCCTTTGTCTCTCTGAGCCTTCTTAGTCCTATGCTTGTTTTCTCTCTGCTCCTGCTCATCCTTCACAGCCTTCTCCTCTCCATGCTCTTCCCCATGCTCTTCCCCGTCGTCGTCGTCCTTCTCCTCCTCGCCCTCCCTCATTCTTCCTTCTCCTCTCCGGCCTCCTCTTTCTCCTTTAACCTTCCCTCTCTGCTGGTTCTCGTCGTCGTCATCGTTGTCGCCGTCGTCCTTTTACCCCGCGCCCCTGCCAGGGTACCTTTGTTGGCTGGACCGGCAAGTTTAGAGAGCTGCAGGTCGTGGCCCAGGTTCCATGGATTTTTCTGGTGCGCGCCAGGGAGGGGCCGTAAGACGAGTGCGGGCATCGTGGCAGTGCGGGGCCCCTGCCAGGCATCTTCGTTGGCCCTTCTCTCTCCCTCGCGCTGCTCTCTTGCATGTTGTCTCATGACTCGGGATCCTTGACGCCATGCAGCAAGGGTGCCCAGGTGAGTTACGCATCCGACGGTGCTCAGGCGAGCTACGCATCGATCAAGAAAGTGCGGAAGCGCGCAGTGGAACAGAGAGGGGGGGCAGCCGTCAAACGGATGACCGGGATCTGCCTGATCAGGCCCGAGAGTCAACCATAAGTGCCTTTGCGGATCGTTTTTCGCTACGGGAGTCTCTTGGCAGCTTACCTGGGCCGCCATCTTGGGGCTCCGTGGGGGCAATTTTCCAATGCCTTCGATGCCCTGTTGGGGCCCTTGCGGAGGACATAGAATCGTCGTGGAGCCATCTCGGAGCCCTCTTGGGATCTGTTTGGGCCCTCTTCGGGGCCTTCGACGCTCTCTTAGGGCCATTTTGGATGATATCGATCAAAGCAGGGGGATCTCGATTAGCGCTCGCCCCTAGAGTCCCCAAAGTCGGTTCTTGAGGCCCTCTTGGGGCACTTTTGCGTTCTTGGGGCCGTCTTGGAGCCGTCTTGCAGCCCTCTTGGGCCCCTCTTGGGGCATTTTGAGGCTTCCAGCGCCTATCGGAGACGTGAAGGCGAGAAGGCAAGCAACATCTGATTTCTCTCGCTTTGCGGGGTGCACGTCCAGAGCACGTGAAGGCTGGGCGTTGAGTGGTTTGCCCTGCTCGTCTGCCGAGGAGTCTGCCGTGTCGTTCTGTTCGCCCCAGGGCGCTGCCAGCGCCACGGGGAGCCGGTGTGTCTACCCCCTTGTTTCAGCGCCAGATCGAGGGCGCGAATGTCCACGAGGGCGACGAGCATTCACCGCGTGTCAGCACAAGGCAGCGCCAAGTTCAAATTCCGATGAGCATAGCAGCGACGCGCCTTCGTGTACAATTCCCCAGGCCTCTTGCCAATTTCTTTGGGCCTCTTGGGGGCTTCTTTGGGGCATCTTGGAAGCTTCTCGGTGGCCCCTGGAAGCGTCTTGGGGGGCCCCTGTGGGGCCTCTTGGGGGCCTCTTGGGCCGTCTTGGGGGCCTCTTGCGCCGTCTGGCCCCTTCGGAGGCCGTCTTGGGCCTCTCGGCTCTCGGGGCCGCCCTGTGGCTCTCTTGGGGTCCTCTTGGGTCGTCTTGGGGTCCTCGTAAGCCTTGTCGGGGCCTTTGTGGGCCATCTTGGGGCTCCCTGTGGGCCGTTTTGGGGCCCTCCTGGGCGCCCCAGGGGCCGTCTCGGGGCCAGCTCGGAGGCTGCTTGGGCCGTCATGATGCAACATCAAGAGGGAAATCAATGTTTCGGGGGCCTCCTTGGGGCCCTCCGGGGCCGTCTGCGGAACCTTTCGGGGCCTCTTGGGCCCATCTTGGGCCGTCTTGGCCTTCGGCAAGCTGCATTTGGGCCGTCTTGAGGCCCTCTTGGGTCCCCGCGAGGCCCCATAGGCCGATGTCATAGATTTGCCATGCGTTTTGGTACGTCTCTGGGACCCAGAAGGGGGGGCATCTTGGTTCACCGACGTTTCGCGACTCCAGGGGTGGGCAGGGGGATACATAATCATGTGAGAGAATACAACAAATAGCAATTATGTTCTACGCGTTGCGTTGAGGCGTTTGCCAGATGACGCTGTCGCTCAGCACGTCACCTCTGGACTTGGATTGCTCTCGCTTCGCGGGGTGCACGTCCGGAGCACGTGCAGTCCAGACGTTGTCGGGCCTGGTGGAAGCCTCTTTGGGGCCTCTTGGAGGCCTCTTGTCGGCTTCTTGGGACCTCTTGGGGGCTTCTTTGTGGCCTCTTGGGGCCTCTTGGGGGTGTCTTGGGCCGTCTTGGGGTGCTCTTGCGCCGCTTGGCAGGCCATCCTTCAGCCCTCTCGCGGCCGCCTTAGGGCTCTCTTGGGGTCCTCTTGAGCCGTCTTGGGGGCGTTTTTAGATCGTCCTGGGGTCTCTTTGGGCCGTCTTGGGGTCCTCTTGGGCCGTTTTTGGGTCCTTTTGGGGGCCTCTGGGGCCGTCCTGGGACCATCTTGGAGACTGCTTGGGCCGGCCGTCACCTCTGAGGATGGAAAAAGCTAAGAACGCTAAAATCCTTCATACAACTACGGAAAGAAAAGGATTTTGGCCTCTGGAGGCGCTCTTGAGGGTCCTCTTGGGGCCCTCTGTGGCCTTCTTGGGGGCCCTTGGGGCTCTCTTGGGGCCATCTTGGACCGTCTTGGGGTCGTCTTGGCCCGTCTTGAGGTCATCTTGAGCAGTCTTGACGCACTCTTGGACCCCCCAGACCAGGTGCCCAAATCATTGATTTTCCAGAGGTTTTTGTATGTTTGCAGGGCCCATGAAGGGGGCCGCTACTTTGGTACGGACATGTGGCGCGACTCCAGGGGGGGGGATAGGGGGGAGACATACTAGTGTAATAGAAGAGAACATGTAGCAATTATGCAATATGTGGATATGTTGGGTACGTTGCATTACAGCATCCGCGGACCTGCCTCCAGCAACACGTCACTTCCGGACTTGGATTCCTCTCGCTTCGCGGGGGTGCACGTCCGGACCACGTACAGTCCAGTTGTTGCGGGGCCTTTTGGGAGCTTCTTTGTGGCCTCTTGGAGGTGTCTTGGGTGGGGGCTTCTTGGGGCCTCGGGGGCGTCTTGGGCCGTCTTGGGGCGCTCTTGTGGCGTGTGGCCCATTCGGAGGCCGTCCTGGGGTTCCCTCGCGGCCGTTTTGGGGCTTTGTTGGGGTCCAGTTGAGTTGGGCCGTCTGAGGGCCCGCTTGGGCCGTCGTGGAGGCCGTTTGAGGGCTTCTTAGGCCGTCTTGGGGCCATTTTGGAGGCAGCTTGGGTCGTCATGGGTTTCTGAGAGGCGAAAAAAGCGAGAACGCTAAATTCCTTCAAAACCCTATGGAATATCGATGGTTTCGGCCTCCGGGGGCGCTCTTGGGGGTCCCCTTGAGGCCGTCTTGGGCCGTCTTGAGCGCTTCTTGGGTCCTCTTGGGGCCATCTTGAGCCGTCTTTGGGCCGTCTTGGCTTGTATTGAGGCTATCTTGAGCCGTCGTCACGGCCTTTGAGACAGAGGCCCAGGAGGCCCAACTCATTGATTTTCAATGTTTTTTTAAGTGGATGTGTCCAGCAGAGGTCCGCCACCCCTGGGTCGGTGGATGTGGGGTGGCTTCGGGGGGGGTGAAGGGGGGAGACATAACAATGTAACAGAATTCGATATGTAGCAATTATGCGATCAGTGGATGCATTGGATACGTTGCATTAGGGCTTCCGCTCCGCTGCCCGGCCTGCCTCCGGGCAGGTTGGGGTTATCGAGGGTGATGATGGAAGCGGCGGCCCCATCTTCCCTCCCAGCGCCGGCTCTACTCATGGGCGCCGCCGTGACCAACTTCCACGTGACAGGGGCTGCGCCGTGTTCGCCCAGGAGAAAAAAACAATACAATCCAGACGTTGTGCGGCCTTTTGGGCGCCTCTGTGAGCCCTTTGGGAGGGTTCTTGGGGATTTCCTAGGGGCCTCTTAGAGACTTCTTGGGGCTCCTTGGGTGCCTCTTTAAGAGAAAAATCCAATGCACTCCAGTCGTTGTGCGGCCTTTTGGACGCTTCTTTGAGGCCTTTGGGAGGCTTCTTGGGGATTTCCTGGAGGCCTCTTGGGGACTTTTTGGGGCCCCTTGGGGGCCTCTTTGGGGCCTCTTGGGGCCTCTTGGGGGCGGTTTGGGCCGTCTTGGGGCGCTCTGGCGCCGTGTCGCCCCTTCGGAGATCGTCTTGGGGGCCTCCCGCGGCCGCCTTAGGGGCCTCTTGGACCGTCTTGGGGGCCTTTTTGGGCCGTCTTGGGGCCCTCACGGGCCGTCTTGGCGCCCTTTTGGGGGTTTCTAGGGCCTTTTTGGGACCATTTTGGAGGCTGCTGGGGCCGTCATTGGCTTCTCAGAGTCGAGGAAGGCGAGAACGCCAAACTCCTCCCAAAACAAAGGGAAAATCAATGATTCTGGCCTCTGGAGGCGCTCTTGGGGGTGGTTTTGGGGCCCTCTTGGGGCGTCTTCGGAGCTTTTTGGGCGCTCTTGGAGCCATCCTGGGTCGTCTTGGGGCCGTTTTGGGGCTCTCTTGGGCCGCCTTAAGCAATCTTGAGCCGTGTTGGCGCCCCTTATGGGCTCCGAGAAGGGTCCAGAGGCCCAAATCAATGAGTTCCATATGTTTTTCTAGGTATTCACAAAGTACGTGGAAACGGGTCGGCGACTGGCGGCGGCCCTGGGGGGGGATTAAGGGGGGTGCTTTTCAATGTATGAGAATGCAATGTTTTGCAATTGGCCTTCCTTGACGTATCGTGGCTGGGCCCTGGCGTCACGCACCCGTCCTGTCGGACTGCCGAGACGCTTCGCTGCAGTCCGGACTTGGATTCCTCTCGCTTCGCGGGGTGCACGTCCGGAACACGTGCAGTCACGTCGTCGCGGAGCCTCTTGGGAGCCTTTTGGGGGCCTCCTGGAGGCCTCCTGGGAGCTTCCTTGGGCCTCTTGGGGAATTCTTTGGGGCCTCTCCCCCCTCCCCCCTTTTCATGCTCCCTCCCATATTTCCTTCCAGCGCCGGCTCTAATCGTGGGCGCCGCTGTGACCAACTTCCACCTGGCTGGTGCTGCGCCGCAGTTCGCCCAGGTTGGAAAAATGACAGTGCACTCCAGTCGCTGTGTGGCCTTCGGGGGGCTTCTTTGGAGCCTTTGGGAGGCTTCTTGAGGACATCTTGGAGGCCTCTTGGGGGCTTTTTGGGGCCCCTTGGGGGCCTCTTGGGGCCTCTTGGGGGCGTCTTTGGCGGTGGCGCGCTTTTGCGCCTTTTCGCTCCTTCGGAAACCGTCTTGGGGGCCTCTCGCGGCCGCCTTGGTCCTCTTGGGCCGTCATAGGGGCCTCTTGGACCGTCTTGGGGGCCTCTTTGGGCCGTCTTGGGGTTC